CGTATACTCTGATTAAATTGACTTAAAGAAAATCCCTGGCTCTCGTGTGAATATTTTGCCTTTGTCACATTAAAATATATGAGAAAGTCTTTCTTCTGATGAAGTTGGTAGATATCAGCAAAGGCAATGTCTACCTTGCTGGAAGCACAGGCACTAATCTCCATCGAGTGACTTTTGTGTCAGGCGTGGAGGTAAGCGCTTTCATACGTCTGACAACAACCCCAGGAAGAGGTATTTCTAATCTCCATTTATATATGGAAAAAATGAGGCCCAGAAAGGTTAAGTGACTTCCTGAGGAACTCAGCTAAGAGGCGACGGTGTCGTCTTCTATCATAGGCTGCCCCTCCCACAAGCCTGGCTCTTGACCACTACCCCACATTACAAGGTTTTCTGCCCAGACCAAAGGGCACACACCTCCCACAGGCAGCCTGTGTGGCTGTCATCAACAGTGTTGGAGGCACCGGAGTCTGTACAAGCTTTCCCGTCTGGGTCACAACCACGGCTCATGTCTGCGCTTCTGGTACTGGTCCTGGCTGGGAAGGCAATCCAGTGGCATCATCTCCTACCATGTGGGCTCCAGAGTTGACTCTGCTGGTCTCAGTGGCTAGGCGGCGGGCCCTCCCTCCCTCTCCACCTGTGGGCAGCCAGCCCTCCGGAAGCCCAGTCTTTGGATATGGGTATTCCTGGAGCCATTTCACTTCCTGATGGAATTAAGCACAGCGCAGGGATGGCTGAGGGCGGTTCTAGTCTCAGTGTGGTCCCCAAAGGAGTGGAGCAGCAACACCTGGGAGCTCGCTGGAAAGGCAACCCCACCCCGGACTTTCCATCTCGGTCTCTTTGGAATCTGCACTTTACCAAGATCCCCAGGTGAGTCATAAGCGAACATCAGCTGGGGGGACCTCCTGTGGCCGTCGCTTTCCCTCGTGTTTAGTGTTGAGAGGGTCCCTGGCTCTGCGACAGGGGCTTCGGGAACCGGGAACCAGGGTAGCTACGCTCGGTCTTGCTGACTGAGGTCTCTCTGGCTACAGAGAGGAGATGACAGCTGTGGCCACACCTGACAATGCCTCTTCTTCACAGAACTGTAAATCCTATGCTTCTCATGAAGCCCTATTTTCTGCAGATTCCCTGTGACATCAATGAAACGAAGGCTTCACCCTGGGGTCAGACCTGTCGCACCTCCCTCTCCGTGGCTCTGGCGCCTCCTTGTATACAGGAACGCAAAGCTGAGACTGAAACATGAAGAATTCTGTTCAGGGCAAGACGATGGAAACCAGGGCGGCTGACAGCAACAGGTTAGTGACAGATCAGTGACACAAACCCCACCCCTGCCCCTTTCCTTCCCTTTGTGCTGTCCGCTTTCCCTGGACATCTGTTTGATCTTCAAGAGATTGATGTTAATGAAGTGCCTAGTGCTGGAGTCTTATCCTGCCAAACAAGGGCTCACCGTCTACTTGGAGGGACGCGCGATCATAGAGGATCACACAAACCAGACAAGAAGCCACAAGCAGAATCGCCAGTGGCTGACATCACAAGCTGGATGGCAGCTCTGTGGAAGCGGAGCCCGGCCACCGTGCCTATGAGCGAGTCCCAGCAAACCATCCACGACAAAACAAGAAAGCCAAACCTGAGTCTCAATCATTCAGAACAGGGGGTCTTCAGTGTAGACTGCAAGCAAATCAAGCAGTTAAAAAAATCTCAGTTTTCCAAGAGTGGTCAATGTCGATTTCCTATAAATTTAAAATTAATTTTCTTCCTATTTTTCATCTTGTACTAAAAATCTATCCGCACCTGTCTCCACATCTCACTTCCTCCTTGTCTCTGTATCTGTCGGCCTATCCTTGAAGTTTTTGCATCTCTTTCCTCGTCTTCACACAACTTATTTTAGCTCTGGCCAGAGTTTCTTCAGAAGGTTTCAATCTGGACTCCAAACACACAGAATCTAAATTCATTCTGCATCCTGGACAAAGCAGGAATGAGAGACGTGTAGAGACAGACAAGTCACGACACGAAGGCAGATGCCAAACAGTAGAGGGTTAAGAAAGTGTCGAGGGGTAAAAGTCACGTAGGAGAGAAACGCATCAATAAATACATAAGCAGCTAGACAGCCAGTAAAGGAGGATAAAGACCCGAGAGAGGACCACAGGATTTTAGGAGCGCCAGACGAGAGACCCTCAGCGGTCACGGTCTGGGCATGCAAAATTTAGCACCTAGACTTACGGCCGCTTCACTGTTGTATAAGTTGAACGGCAAAGTTACTCTCAATGGTGAATGTTCTTGACTATTCCTTCAGGCAGAATGGTCAAAGTCATTGCTATACCAAAATCTGAGTTAAACGTGTTCTCGTTTTCTAGTATATGCTCTATTAACATCAGCAAACTCATTGCACGTTCTGCTGGTGACTTTTCAAAAAGCACAGGCACAGAAGCACTTTGGCGCTGGGTCAACGGCGGCTCTGGACACACGGACACAGCACGCACGGCCATCAGCAGTGCCGCGGGCGTCCCCTGCTCCAGGCTGGGGCCAGAAGCAGTGGCCACGTGTGCAGCTGCTGGGTCTGCGCATGGGAACCTGCGCCCAGGTCCCCATTTCAGCAAAGACGGGGGAACCTCAGCATTTCTGATGTTTACCTCACATTTGGAAAATCAGGTATACAAGCAAACATTACTAAATAGATTGTATCTGTGATAATCTTATCTTTTTAGAGGAAAGCGATACTAGACATGAAGTTCAGGACAAACAAGGCGTCCCAGAAGGAGGGCAGGGGAGGCAAGGGAGAGCACAGCAGTGTTGGCGACACACCGGCCCTTAGGCTGGGCGATGAGCGTCCACTTGATTACCGACCATTGTACCTTAGATGTTACATGTCTTTACATGCACGGAATATGACATAATAAAAATTTAAATAAACCATCCAAAAATTGTGTTATGCTGCCAAATCCACAGAATGCCAATTTGGAAAAAAATAGAGTCATGAAAATTCACATGTTTGAACATAATTATGTGGGGGATAAAAGGAGGCTTATGCTTTGGAATATTTTTCTGGTTGAACTGAAAGCAGAGACGACATCACTCTGCCAGAGGAGGCGAGCAGAGGACACTGGCCCTTCTGTTTCCTGGCTGTCCATGAATGTAAGAATGACAATTTTGCTTTTTTCCAAAAATAATTCTAGCCAGTCTTTCCCAGAGAAACTGTAAGTTTTGCCGATAGGCTGAGAGGGCTCTCAAAATGGAGTGTTTTTCTTAAATACTGGAGTGCCATGCTTTTCAGTTTGGATAAATGCTTTCAGTTTGGATAAAATGCCGTAAGTCTAGGTGCTAAATTTTGCATGCCCAGACCGTGACTGCTGAGGGTCTCTCGGAAGAGAGTTGAAGGACCTAGTATAACTTTCTAAAAATCTTTTTATTTTTAAAAGCTGGGTTCATGAGAACAATCAGAAAATAATAAAGTCTTGTTGACGGGGTGCTCAACCAGCCCATTTAAGCATCTCAGGATATAGATACAAACAAGATAGAAAAATGGAGGCAAATTTATAGCCTGTTGTGTGACCATGGCTGGGGACTTTACTTCAGGAGCTCACAGGGGAGCGAGGAATGAACGCAATTCGCACATTCATCTTGGAGAGAGAGGACATGGCCAAAGAAAAGAAGAATTATCTAACCCTTACCTCCCCTGCAGGCACTGAACTGAGGCAGAGTGCTATAACGGAGACTCAAATATTTGACACAGACGTATGTCAGATCAAGTTTGCAATCACTTCCAAATCTAAAGTGTGTGTAACTTTAAATTATGTACTTTTCCCAGTTAGTACGTTTTCAAGATTTTTTAAAAAATGTATTTGCTCGATAAAATTTTGACTTAAACCATAGCATACAGGCAGAACAAAAACCGGAATCAAGAGCGTGTAGAGGAGGTGATGTTAACAAGAAGATTAAACCAAAGAAAACGCAAACGCGGTGACGAAGACAGGCTTCCTTCCCCTGGGCTTCGCTAGACTGCAGACAGGCTTCTTCCTGACTGGCCCCGGCCTCCCTTGTCTTAGAGCAACTGTAAGTTCTTCCTCTGCCCCTTTGGGATGTAAATCTTCTCCCAGCCTCTTGGCAGTTTGGGAATGCCTGTCTCCAGGACCTGGGATCCACTGCTTTGAAATGTCGTCTTCAAGGAGGACAGGCCTCTGTCTCCCAGTCTCTGTGGGAGGGTGGGCTCCAGTTAGCAAACGCGGGATGCCTCATCACAGAGAAGGATGTTTGCAAACTCCGGATGCTACACCACACCCGCTGTTCCTTTGTTCCACCTCTCCTCCGTGCCCTCCAGGGCTCCCACTAGCTCACCCCAGCACTAAAAATCCTCCCACCTTGTGTTTCAGGGGAATTTAGTTCACACTCAGGTCTCTCTCCCGCATGGCAATAGCCTAGGATAAAATCTCCTTTTCCTTTCTAACTTCCTCTAGTGCAATTTTTGTTCTGACAATGGCAGCCAAGGTAAGACCCCAGGGCATAAAGCCAGGCAAGAAACCAGGGGCGATGCAGGTGCCATCATCCCACCAACACCTTCCAATGCCTGTCAGCCCTCTGCAGAAGCAAGGAGCACAGTATTTACAGACTTCTAGCACAGTGAGGCACGGCCACAAATGACTACTGCAGAATAGAAAATGAGCAGTGGCTTGGGAGCTCCTGTAAAGTCCTATGAGAGAATCATAAAGTTCTGTGGTTGGTGTCAGAGACAAAAGGCCCAAGGTGCATATGTAAATCTCCAGCAACAAAAAGAATAAAGTGAGAAACATTTGACCCAGTTAATACTGGGGTAGGAACCACGCACAAGTAGGATGGAGGTGTTGAGCAGGTGACGTGAGCACAAGTGGTGGACAGAATGGCAAAGCCTGCTTCTCCTCATTTCCTGATTAGTATGTGGTCATCAAGGGGGCCTGCTTGCTCTCTCTCTCTCTCTCTATATATATACAACATAAGAATGTTTACATAGATCTACAGACACAGAAGTTATGTAAAACAGATGACTGCTTTAATGATAAAAACAGTAACAATGACCGATAATAGATAGCGTCATGCCAAATATTTTACATACCTAATATCATTTAAGCCTTCTTACAACCCAACGAGGAAAACACTGTCACTATTCCTACTTCTCTGATAAGGAAACTGAAGCTCAGAGAAGTCATGGGCCAGCAGATGGTGAGGCTGACATTTAAACAAAAGCTGGTTCTAGAACCTACAATTTTATCTAACTAATCCAATGGTCCTCAATTCTAGCTAAACATTAGAATCACCTGAAGTGCTATTTAAAAATATCAATATCTGGGCCCCATCCCCAGAGGTTCAGATTTTATTGGTTTGGGGAGATGTCCAGACATTAATATAAAAAGGTAGAAGTTGAATAAACCCTTCTCAAGGTGACAGTAATGCTGCACCCACGGCGCTAAGCCATCCTGTTTCTCCTCCTACCATTTCTGTGGCAGGAATGACAGTAAAAATCGATACCAGCAGAGACAAGGAAGGCGTTTCACCACTTCCTCACCTCTAGTCGACCTCAGCAAGCAGCGACCTGGCTTCCACACTTGCCACGCTCTCAGATTGCGTGTGCTAAGGCTGCCAGCTCACCTCCACCCGACAGATCCACCAGCCTTCCAACACTCAGTCCTCCCGCATCATTTGACACTGTAATTAGAGTATCATGCCGGCGGCGGAACCTCTTCCCCATTTGACAATGTGCTGCCCACCTGACTGCCCCTAGTTCCCAGGGGATTTTCTTCCGTGCCTCATGCCTGTAACCTTGGTGTTTCCATCTTCACTCTAGTTTTCTCATCCAGCACATCGGCATTCCTGCAGAGTTATCTCACCCACTCCCACATTATCAACCCCCCTCCCCCACCATCAAAACAACTCTTCACTGCTGCCTCCATCCCCATCTCTCTCCTGGGCCTCAGTTCCACACAGCCACCTGCTTCGCTGCAGACAGGGATGCTGAACCTCAGAGGAATTACGACCCAGGAGCCTGGGTCTCTCATTTGTGCAGGCTGTGTTCTCTGCATTGTGTAGGGGCAGGGTGGTCATCTCCTCAGCTCCACGATGTCTTCCCAGTCTGCCTGTCACCCTCAGAGGGCATTGCACTGCTGATGGCAGAGGGCTCAGCTCCACCACGTCGGCCCAGTCTGCCTGTCACCCTCAGAGGGCATTGTCCTGCTGATGGCAGAGGGCTCAGCTCCACCACGTCTTCCCAGTCTGCCTGTCACCCTCAGAGGGCATTGTCCTGCTGGTGGCAGAGGAAAGTTCCCTGAGATGTTCCTGTAATAGAACCTAAGGAAACAGGGATCAGGGATGTGCGTAATGTTAGGTCCTTTGCCTATTTCCAGGTTCCCAACACATAATTATTCCACCAGGACACGAGCCAAAGGAGAAATTTCTCGTACTCATGGCTGATTGGCTACTTCTCACATTTCTTTATTCTGACTCTTTGTACTGCTAACGTGAACCTGTATATTCATTTTTGTTCTTTTTTTCACTTTAAATCTTTAAGTAAAGAAACATTTGCTTCCCAATTACTGCATAGTTGAGGCATTTTCTTGGCTTTTTCTCATTTCTGAGATTACATTTGCTAAAATACGCTGCCCTCAGGGCCGGCCTGGTGGCGTGGTGGTTCAGTTCTCACGTTTCGGTTCAGCAGACCAGGGTTTCCCAGGTTTGGGCCTGGGGGGCAGACTGAGCACCGCTCATGAAGCCATGCTGTGGCTGCATCCACATATAAAATAGATGAAGATGGGCACATACATTAGCTCAGGGAGAATCTTCCTCAAGCAAAAAGGAAAAAGAGCATGCTGCCCTCAAAAAAGACGAACTGATAGTTACATGTCTCAGTTTTTGATAAAGTAATGGTCATTAATTTTACCCTGTAAGGTAATAATACTCTGAAAGAAATCACTTCATTGTTATTTTTAAATTTATAGCATTATTCTTAACACTCAAGAATAGGTGATAACAGTGAAAATAAGCTATTTTCTTCAATGAAACTTTTTTTATAATTTATGTTTATTACTACAGTGTTCATCTTAAATTTTTATCTCTAAAGAACAGAACAGAAAGCATCCTGTTCTTTATTTTAGAGTTACAAATGAGCAATAACCCAAAGGTATATAAATTAAGCAGCTGGTTCAATATGGAAGTCCACATTATATGGGTTATGAGCTCAGAGGTGTTGGCCCAATATTAAGTGAAAATTATCCGGGTGAATGCACCATTTCATTTATAATAAAGTGCAAGTGCTTTGCAATTTATATAAAGATGAAAATCCAATTAGGAGGTTTGCAAATGTAGTCATTCTATTACTGAATATATTAACTTTGCCATATTACAATACTCCCCCAGTGTCAAACCTTTAAATCAATTTCTGTCAAAATTTTCTTTTGCTTACAAGTTAATATGCATACTGTGCATATAGATAGAAAGGCATTCAATGGAGTCTCCCTTTCTGCTTCATGAGTTTATTATAAAAAAAACATCATTTTCACTGTGCTCCGAGTAAGACTTGCTGAAACTTGCCTGCGAACCCAGAGATTCTCCAATATATTTTAATTTTTCACTTCCCACTTCAAGAACATCTCTAAACTGAAAACTTTAGATGAGATGAGTCTAATTTGTGATAGAAAAATTCAAATCAAGAGTTGGAATCTACTGTCTTTTTCAATATGAATCCTTTTATAGATAATTAACAGGGAGAAAAGCTTGAGCAGTTTTCGTAGATAGCTCACTGTTAGGCATGTTCTTTCTGGGATTCAATTAGGTATGAAGTAGGTGAACTGAGCTGGGTTTCACTTGTGCTTCCAACATGGAAGCACGATCTACTCTAAAATAAAAAGCCTCATGAGAAATGTGACTGACAGATGCATTTCTTTTTCTTTTTTTTTTTGAGGAAGATTAGCCGTGAGCTAACTACTACCAATCCTCCTCTTTTTTGCTGAGGAAGCCTGGTCCGTGCCCATCTTCCTCTACTTTATGTGTGGGATGCCTACCACAGCATGGCGTGCCAAGCGGTGCCATGTCCGCACCCGGGATTCGAACCGGTGAACCCCGGGCCACCGAGAAGCGGAATGTGCAAACTTTACCACTGCGCCACTGGGCCAGCCCCTGGATGCGTTTCTGAGTAAGTTTCAGGAAGGAACAAGAATCACCTCTTATAGACTAGCTTTGATCAATCTCAGAAGCCAGGCCTTTGGCCAGTCCCCACCTGGCCTTCTGTGACCACACATTTGCCTCACTTACCAGAGAGTCTGCCAGACACTTCTTTCCTGCAGCCTGTGGGCCACGGAAATGCAGAAAGACCGTGGCTGGCAGCACACCTTCTCCCTTTGGTTATCTAGCAGGAACACTCAGCCAAATTGACAGTCTCTCACCCCCATCACCTCACGTTTCCCCAGCAGTGCAATCTGCAGTTACGGACAGTGGAGCAGTGGAGAGTTCCAGGTTGGATGTAAAGCCCAAGCACTAAAAACAGAAGAAAGTAACAAAATCAGCGGAGAGTTAAAGGTAGAGACCAGGAACATTGGCTTCCGTGTGTGTAAGCCAGGATTTAGTGGTCACACACCAAGGAAAGTGAATGTCAGAAGACTGTCCTTGAGCTCTAACGAAAAGACTTGAACAGTGATAGGCTCCTGGGCTGTGACACTGAACTCCGGCTTTGCTAAAGTCATAGCTTTCTCAGAGGGAAGACTGGCATTTGGTGGTCTCTGTCACTTTGAAAACACTGACGAGGCGAGTGCTCTGAACTCAGTCTCTGCAGATTCCTTCCTGGCTCCCCCACCCTGAGTCTTCCTCCTGGACGTGAGGGACCAGATACACCTGGGTTCTTGATGTTCTTCCCCGCACACCCCTGTGTGATGGAGATAGTGGGAGGTGCTGGCTGAGGGCAGGCGTGAACTTTGGGTTAGACAGCATGGATTTGATCCTCTTATACCACCCACCAGCCAAGTGACCTCAGGAAGTTTATTTAGCCTTTGCTAATCTTTGTTTTTTCCAGCTATAAAGTGGAAATAATAATACCCAACTGTACGAGCTGTTGACAGAATCAATTGGGATATCCTGTGCAAAGAAATTAGCACTATGCCTTGCACACAATAAATACTCAAATAGTGGCTAGAGTGTAACATTTTTGTTTTCTTTGATGATTTTTTACTCGTTAGAGACTGGGGAGCTGACAGAAGGATGAGACCTTCCTTCTACTGTAATGTCCTAAGTCACAGCTCCCATCCTTCCGGGATGGAGCTTCTCTCCTGATTTATTTCTGGTAACCAGTTACGTGCCCTTGCTAGTTCAGAGACTCATGTGAGTTTGCTTCTTAATTTCTCCCCATTTCCCTCTGACATATTTTCTGCGGAATAAATTCAATGGTCAAGGGCAGACTCTAATGTCACCTCATCTGCAAAAGTTTTTCTAATTCCTTCAGAAGATTTGTGAACTTTCTCCCTGGGTTTCTGCAAAGAGCGCTGCATTTCCTTGACTGTCTTCAGCCAGTTGTCTAGGTGTCTCTCCCTTGACAGCACGTCAGCTCCTTGAGGGCAGAGTCCATGGCTTGCTTGTCCTTATTGAACTTAATGGTGTGAGAAACAGCTTTAAGACACACGCTTCGGGAAACAAAAACTGAGAACCGTCCCGGCCAGCAATGCCATTTGGCATCCAGAGAGCCACGAGGGATGGAAGACCACGGTCAGACATGTCGATTCTCTAGAGTAAACGCCACGTGGTCAGTGATGGGTGCTGGAGAGCCCAGCGAGGGTCACACGCTGAAGCAGCAGCTTTTGAGGGCTGTTTTAGGGCCCATCTCTGTTCTTGAAATTTTGTTATGCAAAGACTGTGCACAGTAGAATATAAAATATCAGTAAATGGACTTTTAATCCTTTGCAATCTTTTTTTTCTCCTAAAAAATAAGAGAAAGATAGCTTTAGCCTTTAAAGATCAACTACTCAAGACTTCAACAATAATTGTAGTGTGGTATTTGTTCCACTTCTAAAATTCTCAAGATATAGATACAAGTTAATTCAAAATTCAGCTTATGTTTCTAAAATATGATAAAGGTGAAAGCTGAATAATTCATAATAATCATAGTCAGTGAGGTCAAGGCCATTAGAGAGCAATTTGAGTATTAATTCACACTTGCTGGGTATATAAAAATATAACTAACTTTCATTATGTTTTGTAAAAGTTGTTATTTAAGAATTATTGGTGAGCTTGTAACCTAATCTAATAAACTCTTTGTTTATATAAATGAGATTTTTTTGGGGTGGATTGTTGAGAAAATAAGATCCAGTAAAGCAAACCAAATAACCGTTTCAAGAAAGATATATCTCGTCTCTTCAGATTTAGAAAGGAAAGATCACTCTTTTCTTAAATGGAGCTTCTTATCAATATGAAAATAAGACAGTCAGACTAAAGGAACACATTAATAGCTGAAAAAGTAGATGTTAGTGGAGCCACTAATTTCTCCATCTTCTTCAATTACAACTTTTATTCTAAAATTTAAACAACCTTGCAAAGCACAATCCAAATTAAAATAAAAACTAGTTTTGTATTTTAGCCAAAATATACTCTAACTACTATTATACAACAGAGGTGGAGCAAAATGTATCACCCATCATTCTGAAGACTAATTACTTCTAAGTAGATGATGATTTTTGATAAATTTTAATGAAAACAAAATTTCTGAAGTTTAATTATTACAAATTTTACTATATTTAGAAAAACCTAATCAAGCCTCATATTAAGAACAGGTAAAAATTAAAATTTGCATTTTAACTCTATTCTTTAAGTGGAGTTCCTAAAGAATGGAATTTAAAAGGTAACATCACTTTGCTTTTCAAAATATTCTATCTGTTGAAATACCTAGAGCAGAAATTGATGTCTATTTCAGAGAAAATGTCCTTATCTTTAATGCCTCAACCTTTCAAATTTATTACGGGACTTACATATTTATCAGTCTAGTTTATCTTCTTGAAAACAAAGACTGACTTTGGAAAATTTAAATAGCACAATTAAGTCTAAATATTTCCATGTCATCTAAAATTCAACCATGAAGAAATATTCCAAACAGCTTATAACATAATGCTTTCAATAACATTTCAAAAGCATAGAATTATAGAAAAAAGTGATATTTGGCAACTTGAAAAATCCTTAAGAGGAACAAAGAACAAGGGCAATGAACAGAAATGAGTAGCAAATATAGGAGACATCAATCCCACTGCGTCAACAGTCACTTTAAAGGTCAGTGACCTAAATACACCAACTAAAAGGCAGAGGTTGTCAGAGAGAACACAAAAATAAGACCCAACTATATGTTGTCTACAAGAAATCCACTTTAAGTATAAAACACATACATATTAAAAGGAAAGCGATGGTGAAAGATGTACCATATTAGCACTAATCAAAAGAAAGTGGGAGCAGCCGTGTTAACTTCAGACAGAGCAGACTTCAGGAATAGAAAGTCACCACAGATAATGGGGGAATTTCATAATGATAAAGGGGAAAGTACTTCAAGAAAACATAAATGTTCTTAATTTATATGCACCTAACATCAGAGTGTCAAAATACATAAGGCAAAAACTGATAGAAGTGCAAGGAAAAATCAATGAACCCATTTTTATAGCTGGAGAACTTAAAACCCCTCTCTATGTGTAATGACATAGTATAACTCAACAGCACCATCAAACTGCTGGGTATTATTGACATCTATAGACTGCTTCATCCACAACAGCAGATTACTCATTCTTCTCAAGCTCACATACAATGTCCATCAACACAGACAACATTCTGGGCCATAAAATACACTTCAACAAATTTGAAAGAATAGAAATCCCACAGTTTCTGCTCTCAGACCACAATGGATTAAACTAGAAATCAGTAACAGAAAGATAGCTGGGAAGTCCCAAAATACTTCGAGATTACACAACACATTTCTAAATAACATGTTTCAAGGAAGAAATCACAAGAGAAATTTAAAAATATTTTGAACAAAACGAAAATGAACACACAACTTGTCAAAATTTGTGGGATGCTGTAAGAGTGGGGCTTAGAGGGAAGTTTATAGCACTGAACACATGTACTAGAAAAGAAGAAAGATCTAAGACCAAGAACCTAAGCTTTCACCTTAGGAAACTAGAAAAATAAGAACAAATTAAATCCCAATTAAGCAGAAAAAAATGAAATAACAAAAATTAGAGCAGAAGTCAATGAAGTTGAAAACAAGGAGTCAAAACAGGAAATCAACAAAACATAAGCTAGTTCTTTGGAAAGACCAATATAATTGATAAACCTCTAGCCAGTCTAAGAAAAAAATAAAGAAGACGCAAATTACTGGTATCAGAAATGAAAGAGAGGGCATCACTACAGATCCTCTGGACTTTTAAAAGATTGTAAAGGAATACTATAAACAACTCTAGGCCCAGAATTTGATAAGCTAGATGAAATGAACAAATTCCTTAAATGACACAGTCTGCTAAAACACACAAGAAATAGGAAATCTGTATATGCCTATACCTATTAAAGAAATTGAGTCAATAATTAATAACCTTTCAAAACAGAAAGCATAAGGCCCAAATGGGTTGCATTCTACTGGTGAATTCTACCAAACATTTCAGGAAGAAATTATACCAATTAGAAAATCAAATCCAACAATATGTAAAAAGAACTATACATCACAAAAAAAAGGGGACTTCTCCCAGGTATGCAAGGCTGGCTTAACATTCAAAAATCAATTAATGTAATGCATCACATTAACAGGCTAATAAAGAAAAATTACATGATCATATTAATAGATGCAGAAAAAAAATTTGACAAAATCTAATAATCACTCATGATAAAAACTCTTAGCAAATTAGGAATAAAGAGGAACTTCCTCAATTTGATAAAGAATATCTACAAAAATCCTAAAGCTAACATCATGCTTAATGGTAAGAAAGTCAAAGCTTTCCCACTAAGATCAGGAACAAGGCAAGGATGTCCCTTCTCAACATTGTACTTGAAGTACTAGCTAATGTGGTAGCACAAGAATAGGAAATAAAAAGTCTATAGATTGAGAAGAAAGAAATAAAATGGTTTTTCTTTGCAGATGACATGATCATGTGTGTAGAAAATCTGGAAGAAGTGACCAAAAACATCCTGGAACTAATAAGCAATTATAGCAAAGTTAGAGGATACAAAGTTAATACACAAGCCAATCGCTTTCCTATACACCAGCAATGAGCAAGTGGAATTTGAAATTAAAAACACATTACCATTTACATTAGCACTCACAAAAACACCTAGGTGTGTTTCTAACAAAATATGTACAAGATCCGTATAAAGCAAAGAACAGGCTTGGATGAAAGACGTCAGGGAAGAACTAAATAAATGGAGAGATATTCCATGTTCATGGATAGGAAGTCAGTATAGTCAAGATGTCAGTTCTTTCCAACTTGATCTGTAGATTCACCACAATCCGAGCAAGTTATTTTGTGGATATTGACAAACTGATTCTAAAGTTTATATGGAGAGGCAAAAGACACACAATATAGCCCATTCAATATTGAAGGGGAGGAACAGTCAGAGGAGTGACACTACCCAACCTGAAGATTTACTACAAAGTGCCAGTAATCAAGACCCTGTGGTAGTGGCAAAAGAGTAGACAAATAAATCAATGGAACAGAATATAGAGCCCAGAACTAGAGCCCCACAAATGAAATCAACTGATCTTTGACAAAGGAGCAAAGGGAATATAATGGAGCAAAGATAGCCTTTTCAACACGCATGTATGCTGGAACAGCTGGACATCCATATGCAAAAATAATGAGGCCAGACACAGACCTTACATCTTTCACAAAAATTGACTCTAAATGGACCATAGATCTCATTGTAAAATGCAAAACAATAAAACTCCTAGAAGATAACATAAGAGAAAATCTGAGTGACCTTGAGTATGGGGATGACTTTTTCGATACAGCATTAAAGGCACAATCCCTGAGAGGAAGAACTGATAAGTTGAACTTCATTAAAATTCAAACCAACCGAACAAAAACCAAGACATCCTTCAGGAGGCAAGTAGATAAATAAACTGTGGTACATTCACAGACAAGGGAATATTATTTAGCACTAAAAAGAAGTGAGTTACCAAGCCTTGAAAAGACATGGAGGAAACTTAAGAGCCTATGACTAAATGAAAGAAGCCGACCTGAAAGTATTGTGTGATCCCAACTCTATGACATTCTGGAACAAGCAAAGCTATGCAGAGTTATGGGGAGAGGAATGGATAGATAGAGCAAGAGGAAGGCTAGGGCAGTGAAAGAATTCTGCGTGATATTGCAGTGTGGGTACATGTCATTATACATTTGTCAAAACCCATAGAATGCGCAACACCAAGAGTGAAACTGAAGGGGTGTTGATGCATGTTCATTGACTGTCACCGGGGTACCTCTGTGGTTCAGGACGTCATAGTGGAGGAGGTGTGCATGTCAGCGCAGAGGGTGTACAGGAACTCTGTACTTTCTGCTCATTTTGCTATACTCTAAAACTGGTCTAAAAATTGAAGTGTGTTAATTTAAAAAATCTTTAAGTAACAATGCCATTTATTCTCTGTAGACTAGTACTTAAGAATTAGAAATGTCATCAAACCAACTGTGGCAGAATTGAAAACAATGACTTTACTATATGTATACAAAACTATTACTTATAAGATGTGAAAAATGTTTTATACATGTTTCTCTTCCTCTAAATAATGAGCAGACTTTGCCATTCATTGATCACTGACAGCTGTGAAATTGCTCTCCAGCTTTGCCTATCTCAACTTATTAATGGACGAATGTTTCACATTAAAATTAAACATTGAAAATGTCTTCACTGTGTGTGAAAGATGCAACAGGAGCAGCTACTCAGGTCAACCTTCCAGCACCA